TTTCTCTCTGTTCCTCGGCCACCCACCCGCTCACCCATCCATCCACCCTGTCTCTCCGTCTTCCTTGAATTTTACATTCATTTTTCCCTGCATAGGCCACTTTCGATCCGTCGCGGACTCTTTCGGTAGCTATGCAACGCGTTCCGCATCTACCGTGCAACTCCTCTCCTCTCTTCCTCTCTATTCACTCTTTCTGACCTTCCACCGATTTTTCCTCTCGCCTCCACCCTCCTGTATATACACGAATACCCGTATTTTCCTCGAGCGAAGCGTGTCCCTCCCCACGTCCCGGTACCATCTTCCTTTATCCGCGCGACGGCAGATAGTTCCCATCCCCGTTCGTCCGACGGCGAGGAAGGAAACTCTCCCGGTTCTCTCTTCCACAGGAATGTTCGGCAGTCTTCCTCTCTCTAACCGTCCCAACTCGCTCGCTCTCTCTTCGTCGGCCCCTGTTCATCGTTCGGTATCACGGTCTCTCTCGTTCGTTGCATTCTGTCGAGCACTGCGTCATTTCTGTACGGTGTATGATTCGTTCTCTCTCTCCGTCTGTCTTCCTCTCTCTCCTTGTCGTCCGTTCATTCCGGCGTGTTCCGTCTTCGTCCCGCGGACGGGTACCGACGCGTCCCTCACGGCCCGACATCCCCCACCAGGACCACGGGTCGACTCGTTGCACCGGGAAACCGAGAGGTGTAGCCGTCCTTCTCGCTCGGCTCCATTCATGCCTCGACTCTCTTTGGGTTATGCAACTTCGGCGCGAGACGCGAGACGAGGGGTTGCGTCGTCGGTTGCGCCGATACTGCACACTCGTTGCACCGAATCTTACCTTATGGAAAACTTGGCCGACCACCGGGTCAACCTCGCGTCGACGCACGATCGCCGCGCAGCTGCGTTTCCGTCCGTTTCCAGTTCGACATCCGTTTGTTCGGGGATCGAGTTTTTTTTTCTTTGTCCCGTCGATATCGATCCTTCCCGAAACCCTTCTTACCGCTTCGATCGATCCTGCCTCGCTCGGTCCGAGAGCGACCAAACGATTAAGGGATCGTCGGTGAAGGATAGAACTCGGATCAATGGAATTTTTAGCTTGGAAAAGTGGACGCTCGAAGAGTCGTGGTTTTATCATTGTCCCCAGGATGCCATGGACCGGATATCTGAGCGAGGAACGGTCAAGGATATCTTCTCGGTCTCCGGGAAACGGTGGCAACTTTGTTGTTTTTTTTTGTTGTTTCCTTTATTACGCTTCGTACAAACAAAATCGTTAAGTGTCCTAGCGGAGAAAGGTTTCGCAATGTGTGAAACAATGTTAAGGAGAACCCTGCCGCATCTCGCATACGCCGGTCTAATATAAACCAAGGATGAATTTCATTAGATCCCGAGCAAGGTGACAACAGCCTGTGATCGGTATCGGCGAAGAAACGCTCAATTAAGACTACCCGTGTATCGCAGGAACGTTTTGAGCATCGTATACGAATTTGATCGCGGAGGCGTTTCAATCTTTTAAAGGGGCTGCTCCCCCGATACCGAGGCGTGTCTGCACCGTTCCCGCGTGAATGCAACGCGCGAACCCTTTACGCGTACGAAGAAATATGTATCATGTACGAAAATACAGTCTCTATATCTTACATATGTATGTATATATGTATATATATATAAGTATATACATACGTATATAGTATGTATAAATGTTCAGCGTCGAGAATGCAACGAAACACCGATCGATACGAGTTTCGCTCGTGCGACGACTCCGTTGCTCGCGTGATCAAATTATTTCCTTCCTTCTTTCCTTCGCCAAAACCGTTAAGTAACATTAAGTAAACAAAGAAACGTCTAAGGGGGAAAGGGGGGTGGCACAGTCGCATGAATGCTTGTGCGAGCCGCGGGGGCGTGCGATGCGTCCCGTACGCGCGCACACGAGGAGAACCATCGATTGTCATGCACCTATACGCAACGCCGCGTCGTCGTGTCGATCCCGAACGAACAAGCGGATTCGAGGGGTATTTATTGCGGACGCAATGTAATAAATATGACTGCACTTACCCGAGTAGACCCGAGGCGACAGCTCGCGTGTCGCGCGGACAGACACCTCGAGGCCGCGTACGCTAACGCTGTTTCCCCAAGAAACACGTTTCGGAAAAGTACGGAGGGCTGCGATTTTTTCCAGCAAAATCATCAGCGAAATGCAAAAGTAACACTGGGCCCGGCGAGCTTGATAAACACCACTATATATCCGGTTTACACCTCTGAACACTGCGACTTTTCCGGAATCTCGTTGAAGCGTGCGCTCCCGATCGAACATTCTGCCACCGAAGGCGACACGTGCAATCTATGCCGCGTCCCCGACGGTTTCTTCCCGCTTTTACCTTCTATTTCTATTTGCTTTTTATTCGCTACGAGGAGTGATTAATTCACACGATTCCGGGGATCTCGTTCGGCAGAAGTTTGGGAGCGCGATTATCCCGCGATTTTCTCGACGCTGCACGGGAATTGCAATACTACGGGGCCGTCCGACACGCGACCTCGTGGGTTTTCGTGCTCGAAAACACGGGGACCCGGAGGAGTACGACGTTCCCTGAGCGAGAACCGATTCCGACGTCCGATCGAAGCACGCCCCGTCGCATTCGACGCATGCCTCTCTGGTGCAACGAATGCGACGCAGAAACTTCTAAAGCGTTGCCGAAGGTCGTCGTCTCGTTGATCTAATTGACTCCTGAATCGGATCAACGAAGACTAGATTCATGGAAGACACGTTTCGATAGTATCGACGACACCGGTCTAACGCTTCTCGCGGATCCGACTCCGTTGCTTACCACCGCACCACGGGCGAATTTCTCTAAGTATAATGCGATTTCTAGCGAAGGTACGGGTCGGAATTTCGATAGGACGTCGGAATCATCGGACCGTTTCCATCGATTGAGATCGAGGCAGGCCGCGTAACTCGAGTACAACGGATACTCCACCCGTGAGAGAACACGACGCGCCGCAAGAACGATTAGGAATTTTCTGATTGACGTGGATTGCCGCGGGGGAATCGATCTCCCTCGCGGATTGTAAGTTCGCGATCGACGCTCACAGTTTACCCTAATGCAACGTCTAGGGACATCATTACCAAGAAACCGACGACGGCTGCCCAGCTGGCGAGTTTGCCATTTCCACTGCAATCAGAAACGAAAGATAAACATTTTCATTCGACGAGACAGACAGGGTACACATCGAGAGACAGTACCGAGCATGCTCTCCTTTCAGACAGTGGAAGGATCTCCGCGGGAGAGGAGTTGGGTTTAAGCTGAGTGACCATTCAAGAGTGGCGATAGTAATTCCAAATGGCTCTACCTTGGTACTTACTAAATTCTCAAATGTCCGTATCTTCAATTGTTCCTAGTGACACACTGAATCTTGCACAATGGGATATTTAATTATTCTTTCTGTTAGCTTTCAATGATATATAATGATGTATAAAATAAGTGGATCATCTCTCGTCGATTTACCGTATTGCACGTTGCCCTCGAGAGCGTTTCTCGCAAGAGGACACTGTCTTGAAAGCGACGAGTTCGGCTATGCTCTTGGATAGCGACTTTCAACGCAGGTAGCTGCTTGTGAGAGATCCTTACGAGAGCAACTAGCGGTAGCTTCGTTCCCAAATGGACACCTAGCTTCAGACTAGGTCGATGATCCGACAATGCCGATTAGTACGTTCGGCGAAGCGATGGAAAATCAAGCCAATCAAGGCGCGCGCGTCCGTGGAAAAAAAAAAGCGAGCGGAGATCGGCCG